TCTGAATTAATTATGTGCTTGTTAACATATAAATGCATGACAAAATAATAAAAATGTTATCATTTATGCGGGTATAGGTGCTAACTTAAAACCCTTTTGCAGGGCTTTTAATAGCCTGTTGATTAGCATGTTTATTTTAAATTTCAAGAGGTTAAAATCCTACAGGAATATCTTAACTGACAAAATCATCAACTTACAATGTACCATAATGTCACACAATATCAATAACAGCTATACTTCAGAATATGAAGTTGAACACGAAGGCACTGTCCCACCACAGCAGATTTACAGCCCAGTATATAGGGGTAAGTAAAATTTGGTTATTTTGTTTACATTATTTTCACACAGTGGAAAAAAGAAAATAGTTCCAACCTTTGACCCAGGGGGAGGGGGCAGCCCCAGGAAGGCGTATACAGAGTTGTCCTCCTTAGCATCGAAGAAGGTGTCATAGTCCTGTTTGAAAATATGAGACAAATGTTCTATTTCTACTCACTCGTCACGTGCAGTCAGTGGAGCAGGTCACTACATTGTGATTATTTATACAGTAAATTCTATGTGTTTTAACCATAGACTGTATATCAAGATGGACGACAGGATTTCTCCCAGAAAGTGAAGCCAAAGCATCTCAATCATCACCTTCATAAATCCCTTCCACCTCCATGTTAGTGGATGGGACATGGACCAAAATAAAAAGTCAAAATGTACATCAAAAGGACTTACAATGGCCAAACCCTTGATTTCATGAGATTACCTTCCCAGTTGTAAATGGTTTGGTCAAAAAAATGTGACACCAGTCTTATGGACAGACTCACCCCACAGTAGCTCTCTTCGTTGAAGATCTGAGGAGGCAGGGGGATGCCGTTGGCCGGCTTCTTCTCCTCTGGGACGTTCTGCCTCATCCACATGCGGTTCTCCTCGTTGCAGGCGATGTCCAGCGGATCATACTCCACTTTAAGAGCCTCCAGGAAGCCGACAACATCTTGCTGCTTCTTTTTGATCTGGTAATAAAAAATAACATGATCTTAAATATCAACACTGATTGTAGGCTGTCATTTTGCAGCTGCACTCATCTTTTTATCCGGGTTAAGTGTGCAACAAACACGAGGACATGACACACAGAGGGTTCAAATAAGGAACTTGACACCCCACACCCCCTTGGCCTCCTGTCCTTACAAATAAACATACAAACCAGGCCTGTAATAAATCGCAGATCACCAGAAAATGAATCCCCAGCTATTTTGATGATTAACTAATGGTTTAAGTGATATATCTGCTGGTTTGACCACAAAGTGTACTCATTTTCTTACAGTAAATTTAATATCTTTGTGTTTTGGGCTGTTGGTTTGACACAGCATGTAATGTAATTTAAACTCTAGGGAACTGAGGGTGTATTTTTCACTTAGTTCTGACAAAATATAGCCTTAAGTTTCACTTATAATCTACTTTTTAAAAACAATTGTCTTCTGCTCTTCTAAAATTAGTATGGGGAGCTTGCATTGTGCCAACACAGACTCAGTAAGGCTCTATACACATGCAAATCCAAGGAGAAACAACCAGGTCTCTCTGCTGTGACTGAGACAACAGATCTATATCCAAGTGGGCCACCATGCCACCACCCCCCAGTTCAAAGTGCTTATTTAGCTCTGCCAAAAGTAGATCTAGTGGATGAATGCACCCTCCCTGCAGTGGTTACAACCAAACTGTTACTTCAAGCTAAATCTGATCATCACATGTAATAAGACATTGGTGTTTTTGGAGGGTAAAAGCTCCACTGGTGTGGTTTAAAAACGTCTACATATCGGGGTCCGAGACACAAAATGAGTTTGAGACCCCCTGTTCGAGAAAGATCTGCATGTGAATGAGCTCGAGCTTATTACAATGAGGAGCGCTAAATCAAGACTAAAGCACAAATAGGCGCAGACAAAGCCAATGGAATTTGAATAATCAAAGGCGGGTGACGTTAATTCGCTGTAGAGTCAGTGTGAAATAGTGTTGCCGTTTTGCGGAAAGTTTGCGTCAACGAGAATTCGTGCGCACAGGGTGAAAACTTACCGCAGTGGATCCCGATGAAGAGGCGAGGAAAACTTTGATCACCATTATTTGACTTTATAAAGTGGAGAGTGTGCAACAAGTAGACTCTTAAAGGAGCAGGCAGCCTCCTCTATTATTAGAGCTCAGTCAGGACCGAGACATAGCACTGAGATATCACACACACACACACACACACACACACA